CAGCGGGAGGTCACAAGCGCAATGAGTCTGCCTCCGCTTTGAGCTTTGAGGCTGCTTGCATTTTGGACCACTCCAGGTTTTGCAGCTTTCGCTTTGAACCACTCCAGGATTTCGAGCGAAACCGCTCGACTGTCAGAACGGGTTGAACTTGTTCCTCGTGGCTTCGGCGCGTAGCTTACGCCAATTCCAATTCCTTTCATAGCTGAAAGCACGTCTCCTGTAGCCAGTTCTTTGAGATGAAAAATTGCCTCAGCACAGAAACATGTCGTTTTGGAGATCCACCTGGACAAACAGGAAGAGAAACGCCACAAGGTTTCACCCGATCTGAGCCTTTCTCTTGAGCTAAAGCTCACATTGTGGCCTCCAAATTGCAATCACATTGGCCTCCCAATGTTCCAGGCCATGCCGATGGTGTTGGACGAGCAAGAATTGAGTGTCGCACTGCTCAGTCGGGCTTCATGCTTTGGCTGCTTTGCCAGTTGACCTCAGTTTTACAGACTTCGGAGTCCTATAGGTTATTAAAACAGTTTTAAATTTAGCTTTTCCCAGGTGTCCATCTTTGGGGCCCCCCCTTATTTAGGGGACACGGACCATTCAAATGCTCGGCCGGACCGGCCGGAGTTTCTTTTACTATTAAGGGGCCGGCGGGGGTGCTGTATAAATATGTATAACTAATTAATGAGCATGGCGATGTCGCATGGCATATTCTCACCGCACAAAAGCGTCCCAGAGCGCTTTCAGAGGTGTGTTGGAGTGGTTCCTTCAGCACCTCAGCATCCGTGTGAGCCGACACACTGCCAGCCTATGACCAGTCTCGGTGTGTGCACCATAGGTTGAAGCAACGTCCATACTCAGTTGCCCTTGGGAATGAGCTGAAAAAAGATGAAAGAATCAAACTGCTATGTTTTATGTCTCAACGCCTTCTTGTAAAGTGAGCTGCGTGAAAAACCCTCAAGCAAGGAAATTAGATGCGCTGAATGCGGGTAATGGCCTGCAAAAGTGAAAAGCCAGGACGTGAAAGCCTGGAGAAAGCTTCACGGAAGTCGCAGATGGTTTTATTCTTGCGAAAGTTGCTGCGAAAGTCTTGTTAATAGCTGTTAAACACACATATAAATTGGTGAGCTTTGGCAGTCGGAAGCCCTGCCCCGCCCTAACAGCAAAACTTT